TTTTTTTTGTCAGTCATTTCAAACGTAAACAATAGAAAGTGTACCATTGTTATCTATTTTAACAATATTATTCTTATTATCTATCGTTTATTCATCTATTTAAAGAGTTTTCTTTGTTAATGACAAAAAAAGTACACACATATATATAACTATAATATACGACCAAATGAAATATATTGATATTGTCCTTGATCTATATTTATCACGCAAAGTCTATTATAACAACTATGATAGCAATCGACCTACACCTGTTTTGTTAACGATAGGCATTATCAATAGTCTTGTATGTTATATACCATCTATGTCCTTGTTTTCTCATGTCGAGCAGCATCTCTATATAGTTATATCTTGAGCAATATGATTTGGTCTATGAAGCATATAGATCATACAAATACTGAAAATGACGGATGTTTGCTGTCTTTTTTTCTTTCCTTTTTGATATAGCGCAGAGAAAACGTTGTTTTTCTCATGTGTACAAAGTATAAGCGAGAAATAAATCGATGGAATATATTCTTTCAAAGCTATATATACACTTCCATCTATATAGACAATAGAAAACAACAAGAAGAGCAAATTAAGAGAAGATATGTATGCACCGCGTGCAAAATTTGAACGTATTTATGTTGTATCACCAATTAAAGTAGCAATTATTTTTCTAACAAGTTTACATTGTTTATTTTTATTCGTTGCATTTTTAACATCATTTTGGATACAAACAAATCGTGGTCATTATGGTCCATTATATAGTTGTGAAAAACGTTCCCATTCGAATCATGGTTTTATAACATCAATAACAATGGAATGTCATCAAAATGGATTTTTGTATGATACAAAAATTTTCTCAATACCATTAACAATTATATTATTAATTGTTTCATTTTTTTTATCGTTTATATCGGTTATAACAGCAAATCTATCATTTGTAAGAAAAACATTTTCAACTCGTCATCGATATTGGTTATGTACAATTCTATTACTTCTATTTGCTACACTCATTGATTGTTTTATATTAGTTTTTATTCCATTAAGTTATCGTTTTGAAATTTATCATTTTCAATGGGCTTATGGTGTTCATTGTGGTGCAACATTATTTATTTCAGTATCATTAATTGCAGCTATATTAACTAGTAATATAGATGATGTTCATTATATTGAAGCAATTGATGATTCAGCAGTTGAGAAATAAATAAATTAAAACTTTTATTTTCTCTTTTTAACATTAGTTTCTTTTTTAAAATAAATTTTCTATTTGAAAAAATATCAAAATATTCCATCGTTCTTTCATATGTCTGTACTTTCTATTAGATGTTAAGTGAAAATTTAACCTTCTACAAAACGTCATTTGTTATCCTATAATAATTATGTACAAAATGTATTTTCTCATTTACAACACCTAATAGAATTTTCCTTGATAGTAAAAGTCTGTCTATTTTGGTTTCATTTCCATTCTAAATAAATATTCTTGTCATAGAATTTATACGATAGATATTATATATTATCCAGTAAAAACAAGGATCTAATTAGTTTCGACGCTATCAAAATAGTCTATACGAGTTTGTCATTTTTGTGTCGAGAAAAGTTTTTTACATTATATATTATTTCAGATCTATAGCTTTTATCATACCAAAGGAGAAGAAGAAAAAAAAACGAGAAAAATGATATTATTCATAGAAGAAAATATCTACTAGTTGACATACAGATCAAATGACATACGGTTATTGATGAGGTATTGGTTGTAGTTTGTCTTTCATATAGATCTCTATCTTACATTTGATCATTAGTTAAATAATCAAATATCGATACTAATGTCTGTGAAATACGTAATAATGAAATTCAATCTTTGTCTGTCTATATATATTTTTTTTTGACCTAAAACTTATAAATCTAAGATAAATGTTTTTTAATTATAATAATCATATGTTTTAATTGAATAATCGCATTTTGCATTCGCTTTATCTTGTCATAGAATAATTGAATATTTTCTTGATCCATGTTTTGTGTAATTATTAAATATTTTTGAATATAATTTAATGTCCATGATGTATAAATAATCCAAATATGATATTTTAATAGATGAAAAATTAATTTTTCAAATAAATAATTTTTTGATTGAATATTATTAAGATTTTTATCATTATTAAAATTATTCATTAAGTGTTTGGACCATTTTTCCATATGAAAACAACGTATAGCACGTAATATACGAAGGCGTAAGTCAAGTGCTAGATCATATTGAATAAGTTCTTTATTTGAACAAATCATTAAACGTGACATATCATTATTCATTTTATTCATTAAACTATCAGCATTGGAATGTGAAAAACCAATATGTGAAAGAAAACTTATAGCTGTATTTAACGATGTCATTTTTGGAAATAATATGAGAATTTCTTTATTTTATTAAGTATATAATGACCAGTATAACTTATGTTAGAACAGATGACGCCATAAATCAAGGTTATTCAGTTAACTGATTCTATAAATCAAATGATATTGAAAGAATATGTATTTATTTCTTTATAAGAATAAAATATGGGTTAGTATATATTGATAAAGAATGATATATAAATATGAAATAAATGAAGAGAAAAAGAAATATTGTCATTGTTCTTTTTTCTGAAATTAAGAAATTTAATGTTTATTGTTTATTGTATTGATATCTTGTTTGCATTGGAAATTTCTTGGTGAATCATATCTATCTTTAACATCTTTTGACCAAGGTCTACCAACAGATGTATCATCATATGCTGGTGGTTCATCATAAGAGCCATTCTTATCATGTCGTCGTGCATATTGAAAATTAGCATATCGTGTATATTCATCATCTATTAAATTCTCATCTTCTTTGATAACACCAAGTTTATGTGCAACCCTGTAATATTCAAATATTTTTGAAGAAAAAGAAAGAAAGAAAGAAAGAATAAATACAAACCATTCAAGTTTTTCAACAATACTCTCTTTAATTAAATCAATACACATAGCTAATACAGCTAGACCAATAATAATATAGAGGCAAGCAGCTACAAAACGTAAACCTGATGTTGAACTTGATGTTATACCAGGTACCTAGAAGTTTAAAAATATACATAAGAATTAAATTAGAAGAAGAAAAAAACCACTAATTTTACATACATAATCACCAAATCCAATTGTAGACAATGTTATATAACAGAAATATACTGATTCTACCATTGTCCAACCTTCAAATCTATTGAATATAAATGCTCCAAAAAATATATAACCAATTATAATTATAAGAACTGCTAAAATAGGTACACGACTTTCCATACGATTCCAAATATCATCCATTTCTTGATCAATTTCATCATCAATATCATATTCATCATCACTTAATTTATCTCCATCATATTGACGATTTGCTTCTGGCCAATGTGGATCAACTGATCCTGTACCAACATAACCAATTTTTTGTTGATTAAATGAATTTTCTCCACGTAATCGACGTTTTCGATAACGACTACGCATATAAATACGACAACAACAACACATAAAATGAAGACTTGTCGAATATATAAAACGAAACATATCACCCAATATCGAACTTATATTTGCTAGACAAAGAAGAAATATTGGAATACCAATTAATGCATAGCAAATACATGTAATTTGTCCTTCCCTTTAGAGTATATATGAAAATTAGAATTTCAAAAATACATTTTCTATTATCTTACCATGATACTGGTGTTATATGTCCATAACCAATTGATGTAATGATTGTTATTGTAAAAAGTAATGCTGATGGAAAACTCCATCCTGATGTTGTATCACAATCCTGTCCGCTGTAACGAAAATTATTTTTACGATCATAAACATCATTTGTAAAATTATCCAAATAATCAGCTATTTGTTCATAAATGATTGTAGTATCCTCACTTGTTATAGTAACATAACTGAACATTGTTTCAGATATATTTGATACTGAAACATTTTCCGTTACTATAATAAGAAATAAAACTATTCGAAAAAAAAGTTTAATTCATAAATACTTTATACATACAACTAGCTTGTTGACAATTTTGTAATTCAATATATTGTTCAAGTAAAATGAAAAGAAAAGCTCCACCAATACTATAAGCAATAACGACAATGACTAAACCAAGATTTGAACAAAGAAATCGTGCAAATGTATGAAAAAATGATGGACGTTGATTTTGATTTTGATTTTCAGCAGGTACTGGTGCAATAAGATGCGAGATTCGATCAATTGGCATCTTACTTCAAGATTGTTTAGTTTGTAAGTGAAAGTTTACTAGTTTTTTTTCTCTGATTAAATAATGACAATACAGCCGACAAAAAACTAATACGGAAAAAATGTAAATTGTCTCGATTGATCGAGAAAAATAAATTAGAGATGAGTGTCGAGAAACAAATTCCATGAATAACAGATAACTAATAAAACATTAAAAACAAACAAGTAAGGAGAAAATAGAAAATAATAGTACGGAAATGAATTTTATCTTAAATAAATATTATTCAAAGACACAGTACTATATCATACTTCTTTTTTTTCTATCAAAAATTATTATGAACTCGTGCAATCTCTTAACATATTTTTTAAAAACATCTTTATGCACAATAGAAATTCTTCAATCTATATTTTCATATATGAAATTTTTTAATTTTTCTTCATCTCTTTATTTTATTCTTGGTAAACCTCTGTTCATTCATTCACAAAAAAAAAAAAAACAAAAACTAAAACGAGAAACACATGATAATAAATGATGTCAGTTGTTAAAAAGTTTCTCACAAAAACACAAACAAAATCAATAGCATAAACAGGACAAAGACTTTTGTTGTGATTTTAACACAAAAACATAACTAAGAAGTTAAACACAAATACAAAGACGATGACCAGAGACGTTTTGAGAATAAAATATTGAAGAAAAAAGAAAAGATAAAACGACGCATTTTTTTCTTGTTATTGATGTTAATAATAATTCTTCTTATATTTAGAATTTTGTTTTTCTTTGAACGGTTGTTTAGACTGATGATTGACCTCCATCTTGACCGCCGCCTTGATTGTCATTATTCTAGAAAATTAAGAAAAAAAAATATATATATATATATATTAATATATGTTAAATTACAACAAAACTTAAAACTGCAGAAGAGCATACTACATAAAATAAGACTTACATCGTTTTGTGAATCATTACGATTTCCTTGACGAGCTCCTCGAAAAAATCGACCACGGCCACGACCACGACCACGAAATCCACCACGACCACGGAAGCCTAAATAACACAAGTAATTATTTTGTTCTCGCTCTTCGGCAGTTTTTTACAACACCAAAACAAAACATAAAATAATAAAAGCAAACTACGTACCACCCATTGGTGGACCCATTGGACCTGACATAGGACCCATCGGACCACCTAACATTGGGCCGCCTCGACCGCGAAAAACACGGGGTCCTCGACCAAAAAATAAAAAATTAACATATAACCCCTTTTAAAAAAACTTTTTCAACCTAATACCTGCAAAATCGCCATCATATCCATAGCCGCCGCGCATTGGTGGTCGTCCACGACCTAAATGAAAATTTTAAAATGTAATTTATGAAATATAGTTTCAATTATATGTATGTATATATATACCTCGCATCATCGGACCGCCGAAACCTCGTGGTGGTCGACCAAAAGGACGTCCAACCATTGGTGGTGGACCATAGTTTTCGAATGGTTGACCAAAAGGTTGATTATAACCACCATCGAAACCACCTCCTCGACCTTAAATATATTTTATAAGAATTTATCTCTTATTTAATATATAAACATACCTCCACGGAAAGGTCCTCCACGACCGCCACGGAATGGTGGTCGACCGTTGCCACGACCTCCTCGAAAGCTGCCACGTGTATTATATTGTCGGCGATCAGCTGCATATTTTGAACCTTGTACACTGTCACCATTAGGTCCAGTTACATTTGCGGCTTCATAACCTTTTTCACCTACGACAAAAAAACAAATAAACAATACTTTTGTAAAAGAACGAAACATATTCAATCTAATAATATATAATACCTTGTACAATGTCGAATTCGACTTTTTCTTCATCACCAACACTACGTAAGTACTTTCGGGGATTGTTCTTAACAATAGCTGTTTGATGAACGAAGATGTCTTCATTAGTATCTTCCCTAAAAATAAAACAAAAGAAATTGTATATATATATATATATAATAATTTTCTAAAAAATATTTACCGATGAATGAATCCATAACCGCTTTTAACATTGAACCATTTGACTGTACCAGACACTTTTGTTGCTAAAAAAACAAGAAATAATTATTTTATCTTACAAGCTGTTGCTTTCTTTTTTTTTTTCTTCTTTATATTTCATTTACAAAGGCGCGTATAGTATGAATAAAAGAATAAAGAAGAAGAAGAAGAAAAAAAACCTAAGAGAAAAACAACTTATTTCTTACCGACAACGCTTTTACCATTGATTTGTTTTGGATCATCAGTGCCCGAACCGGCTTGATCTTGTTGTTTATTGGCATCAGATTTTTGATCTGATCCAGAATTTTGGTTTGTTGCCACGTCGTTTGATGACATGTTAACCTGATGAATAATTATTTTGTTTGTGTTTATTTGTTTGCTTTTTTATTAATAAGCGCGTTGGATCACGACGAAGATGTTTTATTTATATTCGTTTGTGCTGTTGCTGCGCTTGATGTTAAATTTTGTTGTAAAACGCTCGGGCGCGTGTGATGGTGATGGTGAATGGGCTTGTGCTGCTCTTATTCTAACGCATCTGAATAATGAATGATTCGACCATTTTTGTAGACAGCAAAAACACGCGCCGAACGCAACAAGAAAAGAAGAAAGAGAGTGAATAAGAGAAGAGAAAATCTATTTTTCACTCTCTTTGTGTTTGTTCTCGCACACTCGTCACGTGATTATGAGAGAGAAAAGGAAGAATAGCAAGTAACTAACACACATCAACCTCTACCACAAAATATAAAGAGAACGATCTGGAATTATCATAGAATCGATGCAACAGCAGTACTACTACATATATACTCTGTTGTCCAGGGGGTAAATGAAGAAAAGAAGAAAAGAGAAGAAAACGAAGAAGACGACGAAATGACTTTGTATTTGAATACGTGCCAATAAGAGAAAGAAAAAAAAAGAGAAGAAACATAATGTCGACATCTACCCTATCGCTCTATCATCGTTCTTGTAGTTAATGGAAATCAAGTTAAAAGAATATATTTAGATTATTGTCCAGGGATTATACCAAATATGTATGAATGTTCCAAACTATAAGTTCACAAAATTTATATACATATATATATCGAATTAATAAAGATTAAAAAAAAATTATTTCTTCTAATTACTATTAGTAGAGGATGTTTATTCGACAAATGATCAGATTTTCAATTTTGATAAAATACAATATGTATATATTTCTTACATTTAATGGTTATAAAATTAATATACTCAAGATATTATAGATAACAAAAAAAAATGTATCATAGAAACTTTTATATTTAAAGTATAATGATTACAATTTATTTATTTTGTATAAATAGATATTCGTAAGTTCAATAATTTCTTATAATTAATACATTGATTTTTTTATTAGTCATGAATATTATACATGAAGGAGGATATAGAATATGATCCGTATCCGAGTCATTTTAGAGGACATAATTATCATTAAATGGACAAGAAAGTAAAAAATGCATTACTGATTATTTTCAATACTAACGACTAATTATGAATGTATTTGATAATTTCAGATATCTAACTTATAGATCTGTACCATTTTAAAACATTCAACTAAAAATTTGAGTTATTTCGACTGACATTTTTGCGTTACTGATTGGATTCAATGATATATAAGAAACACATACATTTCTTAGAGAATAATATGTCCGTAAAATTCTTGCGCGTGTACTATTGGTAATATCCTTCATTACATAATGATATATCAAGAAGAAACGTAATACCCATGCTATCTAATTCTATTTATATCTTCTTTCAAAGATAATAACTATATTAGAGTAGTTTTGGAATACAATATTTTCTATGTTGATATGTATTAAATTTGAATTAAATTTTTTTTCTTAAATCAACAAATAATAAAATAAAAATCTGTTTTGTTTAAATAATTTCCCAATAGAGAATTTTTACGTTCGATTAAATAGGAGCTGATAGCATTACCATATGGATCGTAATGTTTGACAAACAAGGCTTATTTTTATTATTATAGAGATCTTATTGTACATCCTCAATTAGTCGTCAATATGTGCAAACAAGAACAATTATCTTAAAGAAAAATAAACAGATTTTATATATAAAAACAATTTCACTAAATAAAATATCCTGAAGTTCCAAGATCTTTCTATTATTGTTTATACAGAGCTAATTTCTAAAATAATTTTATTATATTTATATATTAATTGGTTCTTTTGTGAATAGAATCATTTTGAAAAATTAATTTAAATATGTTAAATGAAAAAGTAAAAATCAATCTTATTTTTATATAGATAATAGTTTATTCTTTTATTTAAATTAATGTCAACAACAAAATGATTGTTCAATATTTGATAATAATGTATTCCGTCAATTAAATAGTAGTATATGAATTTAATATGGAAAATTTGATGTTAGTAATACTAATGTAAATTGTATTAAAATATTTAATAATGGAATCGGTCAATATGGATATTTATTTGATTGTAATCGAATACTTTATGGTCAAAATTTACTTTATCCATATTGTATAATTATTATATCTAGTAAAATATAATTAAATATATTAGAGCGTGTAACATCAACTAATAATGTATGTAATTGTTTTATTAAATAATTACGCAATAGTTTATCAAATTCACGTGGTTTAATATCGATTAAATGTAGACATTGAAGTAATCTTGTTGAATGATATTGAATTTCAAGATATTTTGACATTGATCATTAAACATCATTGAGGGGGCCCCCCCCCTCAGGAACGATTTGCCACTTAGGATGGTCCGTTTGAGCTGAAATTTTCAGGGATGAGTAGTCCTGGTGAGATACGCTTCTAATAAAAATTTCAGCTCGCTAGGTCGTACCAGACCGGATTTGCACCTGGCTCATAGGTGATTTTTGACCTCCAGGAGAATCTTTATAACTCCGTTCAGGGATGACGTATGGAGCTCGGGGTAGTTTCAAATTAAAGCCCATGTCAGTGCGCATCTTTTTATCAGACAGAATTTTGAAATTGTGTATTATTGATTTTTAATGAATATTTTAGTAAACATATCTTTAAAAAAGCATGAAAATGATGCTCCGGCGATAGTAAATTTCATTTTTCTGAGTCCAGGTTTTGAAATTCAAAAAACTGGTTGATAAAAAGTTTCGTCTTTTCGAGATCTTCAAAATAAAAAAAAATATTAATTTTTTGGCCCATCCGAATCAGAGTTATTTCCATTTTTGTGATTGGAAACCATGTTCTGAGAAAAACGCAAAAGAAGTTTTAAAATTAAGAAAATCCGTGAAAAACTCAGTTTTTATTTGAGAACTTCATTTTTGCACGGTGACCTCTACTAAAACTTACACCGTTCGATAGAGAATTAAATTCTGCATCTAACGGAGTTATTTTTAAAGTTAGCAAAAATTCCTAGTCGAATCTAAACACAAAATACTCGAATATAGTGCTAATTTTACTTATGTAAAATATATTAAAAAATAGGGTAGTAAGGTCAAGTTTTTTGCTGATAAGTCTAGGTAAATCTCATTGTTTTGGGAAAACCTATATATATTCGGAAAGAGGAAACTTCGGCGCATCTTTCTATGTGATAAACTCAATTTCGATTTTTTTTCAAAAAAGTACATTTTTTGAGGGGGGGGGGCCCTTAATGACATATTTGAACGAAAAAGAATTTTTTTTCAAAATGTTTTTTTCTAAAAGTATGAATAAAGAAAACTAATGAAGAAGATGATTTATTGAATTAAAATAGGAAATCGATGGGAATGAAAAGAAAACGATCAAAATAAAAATAGTTGTAATATATTAATCGAGTTTGGATTTTCATGTATAGTGTGTTTAATTGCTGTGGTGCATTGTCAATAACTCCACCCGTCTTTGAAAGTAACATCCAATGCACCGGGATTAACCTGTACCTATGCAATCAGTAATGGTGGCATGAGGTCGATAGTCCTGGTCAGTTTCTTCAGTAGTTGTAAGGTGTAAATTCATGCCGATTGTTAAACTTCCTTGTTGCAAATTAATCTTCATCGGTGGATCAAATTGACCGAACTGATTTTTTATATCATCATATTTCATCCTATAGAATACGCAGTTCAGTGGAAATTGTAATTTTGTATTTGTTGATAATGACAAGTAGATGTTTGATGAACACTGATTAGTCCTTGTTTTTTAATTAATTTGTTTAAATCTGAAAAAAACAACAATTACAATCGTTAACAAAATAACTATATTAGATGATATTCTTATGTAAAACAAAACAGCTATGTTTATAATACAGAAACGGAGAGAAAACTGAATTAACATAGGTCACGGTGTGTACACGTACACCTCGAATAATAACAGACGAAATAGGTTCTACATGTTTTTGTTGTTTTTTTCCAGATTTCAACACCTTCTAATAATACAATGCTCACCAAAAATTTACTTAAAATTATCCAATGACGCAACGGTCAATTATCCCGTAAGTTGTGTTTTCGTAATCATCATGTTGTTTTTTTAGATCTAAACAACAATTCCTAATTCATTTTCAACAATTTTACTATCCTTACCAACAAGTACAACATTACAATCTCCATTACAATACGTATTTCACAGGGCAAAATATGATGATGAAAAAAATCAGTTCGATCAATTTGGTCCACCGATGAAAATCTCTCTCCAAGAAGGAAACGTAAGCGGTGGTATAAGTTTACCGTTTGCACCTACGGAAGAAAATGATAAGGATTATCGACTTCATGATATCATAACCGATAGCAATGGCATTATTTTAATCCCGATACACTGGATGATACTTTCTAAGTCCGGTGGACTCGTAGATAATGCTACAGCACAAGAAAAAACATTATATATGAAAATGCAAACTGATTAATATATTAGAACTAAGAAAACAATACAATAGAGAAGCTCGTCAGTTTATACCATATGGTCAACCAATGCACGTCAACATTCAGGATGGTGGATTGACTGATGGTATAAATCTACATTTAACATCAGCTGAACAAACACAGGTCGATTGTTCTTGAAGCAGCAATTCATAAATCTGACCCTGGCATAGCTTCGGGTGGAACCGAACGGATCCGCTCAACGGGAATACTCTTTTCAAGAAACCTCTGGCATACCACGGAGCCGGCCGTTTTCGTGCCGGATTGTTCGACCTGAATGCACGTCAACATTCAGGAGGGTGCGTTGACCGGAGTTATAAACATACATCTGACAAGAGCTCCGTATACTGTACAAAAGTACCGTTTGCAAGTAGTAATTATCGATTATAAAGATATTGTACTACGTCCAAACCATTGGCTCACATTGGACAATACCGGGCTCATCAAACAAGACCAGCTACAAACTTCAAAGGTGCCTCTCGTGATGGTATCGAGTTACATTTAACGGCGTCAGAAGAAAAAATGCCACGTTTTCTTCTCTCAACAACTGCAACAGATGGTCAAGAAAAAGAGTTCAAATCCATTACATCAATCACGCTTGGTAGTAGAGTATTAGTAAACATAACTAATCCTCATCATTTTAATATCATGTTGCTCATGCATACCATTTATCGAATATCTCTCTTTTGGTATAAAAGATCGAGATAGTAATGAGTTTGATTATATACATGATATTAAATTGTAAGCTACACTTATCATTGATAAAATTGTCAATTACATGAATCTTTTTTAGATTACCTACCACTATTATTGATCCTTATCTTCTTCGATACTTATCTCATCTACATATAAATTGTATGAATAGCCTAAGTTTTCATCGAATTATTACACTTTTATCATCTGTATTGGGTCAACTTTCTCATTTTTCATTACAGTTAAAAGGATTTAGATCAATTTCTGATCCATTAACTATATCAGGTGATATGATTCAACAATTGTGCATTGATCGTCTTCAACCAATGACAACTTATACTCTTAATCTATTGTTATACGCTACGGATACTTTTGAAGAAAAAAGAATTTTCAATTCGTTTTTTAAAATTCCATTTATTCAATGATAATGACCAAAATTATTCATTCAAGAACTTGATGATCGATATATGGGTTCTACATTTCATTGTTTTAAAGTATCTACTTTACCATATAATGACAAAATTCTTTCATCATACGTATTCTCAAAAGAACTTGAAAGGTATTTAGAAAACATTTTTTTATATGAATGATTAATAGAATTGTTTTCTCTTTCTTATTTAGCTCTTTTCAAATGTCGGTGAATCCAGTAGATCTATTTCCATGCGCTGATACATTATTTCTATGTGGCTATAACAAGATCAATTGTGTTCAGGATCTTGGCAATTGTAGAAGTTCTATTTCATCATTAGTTTCATGGCCATTATTAACAAATATTTCAATCAATCATAATCATGTTCTTACTCCGACCACATTAAAATGTACACACACTAGAAATTTTTGATGATTTTGGATTTTTGTTTCGTACAATATTAAATAATCATAATCTTACAACTGTGATCAATCAACAAGTATTGATTTTTATTTCTATTTCAGAAAAATCTTTCTTCAAAACTTAATCTAGAAAAGAAAATATTATAAAGATTTAAACGTACGAAATAACTAAAAAAAATATTTTTCTATTAATTAGATTGAATCACTGGAAATCTTTAGTATAACATTGACATTTCAAAATGCTCAACGAAGTTGTACATTATTGTCGAATCGATTATCTAACTTGAAGAAACTTAACTTTAATATTTGTGATGCATTTTATCCATGGAGATGGAACCCATCTTGTATTGTTGACAGAAAAAATAAATCCACAAGACGTATTGTTCCTCTTATTTATCTGCTTGTAGATAAATTACAAAAACTTGTTTCGCTACGCATTGTCTTTTCCAATTCCAAATTCAATGATACACCTTGTTTTCCACATTTGATTCGACGACAATTACATCAATATCCACTTAATCGACCATTTCGATTACGATTTTCTTCTAATGCAATTGCACTATGGCTTTATTAATGTATTAATTATGTTAATGTATTTTGTTATTGTAAATTTTATACATATTTAAATGTCAGAAAAATCAGAAATATTCTGTATTTTTGTTACAAGCAATAAAATTGAAATTTTGAAATTGAATTAATTTTTCTTGATTAATTTTGACATACAGTTAATATTTGCTATATTGAAGGAGATAAGATTGCTAAACAAAAAAAAGCAACTATTTCAACCCTTTTTTTCTCTATTAATAAATATATTTTCAAAATAATAAATATATTTTCAAAATAATAAATATATTTTCAAAAAAAATTTACTTACATTTGATACAACTGATGAGACTACATCGTTGCTTCATGAAATGGAAGTAGATTTTAACAATCTTTAGAATTTGGGTCAAAAGAAATAGTTAGGTCAGTCCAAAAGTAATGACAGTGACATTTTAATAGCCGACAGTAAGCTGAAGGAGAATTTCTTTTAGTATTAAGCAACAGAGAAAAAACGCTCTATCTTTCTATGGTATTTGATTATACTTTAGTCAAGATTATGGTAGGAAAGTTTTCATAAGGTTAGTTTTATTATTACGTATTTTAGTTACAGCAGTACTAAATTGAAATAATATTATTCTATGTGAGTATATTCATTAGGGTGTGGGTGTGGATATTATCTTTACACCACACTCACAGTCTTGTTTTAGTTTACTTTCATTTTTTCTCATCAATAGTACCAAAAAATTGCAATTCACTCATACATATTCGAAAAATAAAAGGCTTCTTGCAAAGAAAAAAACAAAAAAGAACTGACTGGTAAAAACAGAACACGAATATATATTTTCTGCATAAAAAACAGACGACGAAAAAGAAAATAAAAATAAAATAAAACAAACGAAAGAATGTTGTCTGCAATAACAGTACTTTAAATGTAATGAAGAAAAAGAATCGAAAACCATGTGATCGCTAGCAAGATTAGTTAGTGGGTATTTTATTATTTGTATTGGTTGCATTTTATATTGCAGTTAAAGTAGTCAGGTGTAGGACGAAATTTAAAAATGGTCTGTATATCGTCTAAAACATTCGAGTTCTATATCGCATTCATTTGTTTTTCCAGTATAAAGTGGCAGAAAATATTGCATTTATACGAATGAATAAGGATTTAATCTAATATTTTTTTATTTTAAGTTTCTAGATAAATGTCAAACTTGTCGCTTGATTGTCTGCCTGTTGAGATTCTTCATCGTATTTTTGATTATCTCAACGTGCGTACAATTATTAATTCAGTTCGTGGCGTTTGCACACAACTCCATGCGATTGTTAATTCCTATGATCGTTTTCGACTCAATTTGTATTCAACCAATAAGTTTTGTTTGAAAGTATCTCGTCTTGTTGAACCTTCAAATATCATTTCACTGATTTTATCCGGTGGCTATGGCCGTCAAGGATACATCAAATCGTTTCCCGTGAATTTCAACGTTAGTAATTTTACTAGACTTCGTTCGTTGACCCTTAATGAAGTCAGCAATATTGAAATTAACCAAATTTTCCAACATATTATGATCAATTCTCTAGTGTCAATGACAGTCACTATGCGTGAACAATATAACAATACAGCCTTATCAAGTATCTTTCCAGTTGCCGGTCATCGAATCAATTTTCAAAAATTGTTCTTGAATAATCTGGATTATACGACTATAGAAATACCATGGACAAATCAATGCAAATTAGAACAACTGACGATCAGGGATTGCAGTTATCACGGATATGGTATCATACTCTCTAACTTACACTGTTTAAAAACACTTGAAATCAGAAAGTGTCTTATGGATAATACTTATCAAAGGGCTTCTTCATATTCAGTTACAACATCCAATTCTGCAAAGAGACAACGTACTTCCACTGATCCCACAGGTACAGTGAGTTAAATATACACTCTTCAACCATCATCTACCTCATCGGAGGGTTAGCAATTTTTTTCGATGAAATGAATTTCGTGCCTGACTCATATGTAACTAATCGACTCGATCTAGTTTGATCGTTTAAACAGCCACATCACTAACATGGGAGCTATTGAAGTGATACCCATCCTTTGAGCTCATAAAGAGACGTCTAGGAGCCTAATAAAATCCTAAAAGACAGTTAGTCTCCTAATATTTTTCCAGTCAAGTTATTATTAGATTATATGAGTTCAAAAGATCAGTATCCCGTTGAAATAGCTGCTTCATAAGAAAACGACCTGTTCAGTTTCCACTCTACTCTACAGGACTGCATTTTTTTACGTATGTATTCTCTAAATCCATAGAGACTCAGAGTACTTCTATACTTCTTAGTACTTTTGTACTGGTAGAGTTTCGACTTGTCAGTCTTGTAAAAAATGTTTGATCTTATATATTGATTTAATAGTATATGCACAATTGATTTCATTGACTATTGGTGATTGTCAAATATCAATGGAAGAACTCAAATGCCTTCTTTTACTGACACCTTCACTTGTCCACCTCAAACTGGTTTCATCTAGATCAGAAACTTATTCGATATTCGATGGTTCTTATTGGGAGCAATTTATTCAAAATAATCTACTTTTACTGAATAAATTTCAATTTTTCTTCACTTATATTACCGATGAATTTAATGATACCAATACTTTGGACTCACTTATTCTACCATTTCGAAGTTCGTTCTGGCTCAACAACAAACATTGGCTTGTCAGTTGTGACTATACCCCACGAAAACGGAACATTCGACTCTATACATCATCAGCCTACAAGGATATCGAAGCAAGATCTTCTAAACTTTTAATATCATCGATAAATCCTAAATGTCGTATGATTTTGCATTCGAATGAAGACATGGACCATTACAGTAGAAAAGAAGTAAGTCTGAAATGTCTGTCTCATACAAAAATCGTCCAAAGCGTTTCAGATACGTAAATCCATGTTTTTCCTGTATTTATAAATGTTTTTTATCAGATATTTTGTAGAGTTGAATGTGTATGGTTCAAAGTCCAACAGTTGAACGATGATGTTTTTGTGGATGATGGGTTATTTTCCCTGTAAAATTTAGAATTTCCTTCCATTATGCCATCTAACCCAAGAAGAATCTATTTTCCTTAGTTTTCCATTCATAGAAATGACGTCAAATACACAAATATCTGTGATGAAACTCTGAAATCTTTCATTAGAGCCATTTGTGTTACTTTGAGGGTGAGAGTGTTTTCGTCAACTTCTTATACTTGGAAGCGTTTTTCGAATATATACGTCTCATTCAATGTCTTCCATTAATATCTAGAAAATTTATTCAGTTTTCAAAATATTGCGAAAGTAATCGATTTAATAAGATAATAAGACATATTGTCCGTAATGCGCATAATTAATTAGTAGCATACAAAATCTAATTGTATTTTTCTAACCTAAACATATAACGCCCAGCCCGACCTCACTCATTCTTCAGACACATAAAATATCACCCCATTTTTCGCGACTAGTCTTAGTACTTATTTTATCCGTGATTCCTCATTCTCCTTTGAATTCCATAGTATATATTCTTGTTTTTATATAGACAGACGATATATTGAATCTTTCTTACAATTATTTCGAAGACAATCTGATGCAGTATGTAGCTGTAGCACTACTCGATTACAAAGTGATACATTTTTCAAATTCTTTATATTCAAATTTATGTTTTATTTATCATTTAGACATTAACAATACTTAGACTTCGGTGTAATGGAATCGGTGATATTGGAGCACAATATCTAGCTGATGCATTACGAAATCATCAGGTGACATATTTTTCAGATTTCTTTAAATTATACTTATTTTTGACGCTATACGCAGACACTTACCACATTAGACCTTTCTCACAATCGAATCAAAAATAACGGAGCAGAATATCTTTACCATGCCTTCAAAAAAAACAAAGTAAACCTTCGATGCTTCTCATTTATCGTAAATATGTTCTTTCTTTGACATAGACGCTTATCCAATTGGAACTCAGAGAAAATCGTAGTAGCTATTGCACAGCTGTGAGTGCAGCCGTTCAGATACGAAACGATAAAGTAACTCATTGCTATCAGATTATTCATCATAAATTTTCACTTTTCTACAGACAATCACTAAGATGGATCTTACATATAAGAATATCGGCGACAACGAGATTAAATTTGTGACTGTAGCACTACATAACAATGAAGTAACATAGTTTCTGTATATTGTTTTATTAATAATCATTATTTTTGTTTTGATCAGATAATCACCAAATTACACCTTTCGGGGAATAAAATCGGCTATACTGGAGCACAGCATTTAGCTGAAGCGTTACGCAACAATGAAGTAACATAGTTTCTGTATATTGTTCCACTAATGACCATTTTTTGTTTTGCTGTGACATAGACAATCACCGAATTAAACCTTTCGCTGAATAAAATCGGAGATACTGGAGCACAGCATTTAGCTAAAGCATTACGCAACAATAAAGTAACATAATTTCTCTATATTGTTCTACTAATGATGATTTTTTGCTGTGACATAGACAATCACCGAATTAAACCTTTCGCTGAATAAAATCGGAGATACTGGAGCACAGCATTTAGCTAAAGCATTACACAACAATAAAGTAACATAATTTCTCTATATTGTTCTACTAATGATGATTTTTTGCTGTGACATAGACAATCACCAAATTAAACCTTTCGCTGAATAAAATCGGAGATACAGGAGCACAGCATTTAGCTGAAGCATTACACAACAATGAAGTAACATATATATAATTTATCTGTATTGTTTCACTAATGATGATTTTTTGTTCTGATAAAGACAATCACCGACTTAAATCTTTCGATGAATAAGATCGGCGATATTGGAGCACACCATTTAGCTTATATGTTACAAAACAATAAAGTAATTCATTTGTCTTTCTTTGATTTATATTTATTCCTCTGTGTAGGCTCTCACTTCACTGCTACTAGGAATTGCTTCATCACAGGTATCTATCCTATTCTACCCAATCATATTAAATATAACTTTCTTTCGCATAGTCACCTTCAACGGTAATAGGTCCTTATGATGAACAATCAAATCGAATCGGATATGAAGGAGCAAAGCATCTTGCTGATGCATTACAAAAAAACAAAGTGAAGTATTAATCATACTTACTTAAGTTGAACTAATCGTTATTTTACTTGATAGACACTCACAACATTAGATTTGTCAGACAACAGCATTGGAGATGTTGGAGTGAAATATCTCAGTGACGTATTACAATATAATAAAGTGCTTGATTACGTAAAGGATATAGTCTTTATGCTAAATTTTATCTTTTCGTACAGACATTAAAAATATTGACACTTTCGCATAATAATATTAGTGATATTGGAGTACAATATTTAGCCAATGTCTTACAAAATAATGCTGTAAAATGTTTTTTGAATTGATTTAACCAGGAATAATGATTTTATTTTTGAACAGACAATCACTTCGATTGATCTATCAGGAAATGGAATTGGTGACATTGGTGCGAAATATTTGGGTGATGCTATGAAAAACAACAAAGTGATGAATTATTCTCAATCTTTTTATTTTTATATATTACATTATTTAACATATAGACACTTACTAGACTGATACTCCATGATCATCGAAGAGAAACGAATAAAATCACCGATAATGGGGCACAGTTTTTAGATGATGCCTTACGAAATAATACAGTAATATTGATTTATCAAGTTTCTTTTTGTAAAAATTAATTTTTACTTTTTCATATAGACATTGGAAGAGTTGAGACTAAATAATAGTGCAAGTGGATATTGCGCAGTTGTAGAAGCGACTATCGAATTACGAAACAACAGGGTGATTGAACATTCCAAAAATTATGCTTTATTTTGATTATCATTTTTTGATTTAGACTATCGAGACATTATATCTTTTAAACAAGGCAATTGGAGACAAAGAAATACAATGTCTTTCTAACGTATTACAAAACAATCGAGTATCATACTATCATTTATTTTGTTTCTCTCATACAAAATTCTTTTTCTATATAGACATTGACTACACTAGATCTTAATTTCAATCAAATTGGAGACAGTGGAGCAAAATATCTCTCTGACGCATTAAAAAGCAGTACAGTAAGATTTTTCGTTCTCTCGCAAATTTATTTTCAATCTTTCCACAGACGCTGACAAAATTATATCTTGGTCACAACCAAATCGGAGATATTGGAGCACAATACTTAGCTGATATTTTAAGAGACAATAAAGTCATTTATTCTGTTAATATATTTTATTTTTTATTGACATTTTCTGTTTCATTCAGACACTTATTACACTTGATCTTCGATCGAATCAAATTGGAGATGATGGGGCACAACAATTGGCTTTTGCTTTGAAAAACAATGAAGTAACGAACTCTTTTTTAGTAATCGCACATTGAATTATCTTGATTGTTGTACTTAGACACTCCAAGAACTGACACTTATTAATAACAAAATCTCGAACGAACTACAAAATCGTTTGGAAACAGAAGATAGAAGACTTTGTTTATCTATTTACTCTGATTCTGATGATTGAGAAGATGATTGTTATTCGAATTAACAATTAACTATTTGATTCACTTTTCAATAAAATCAATATATAATTATTATTCATCTAAGGATATTCCAATCGAAACATAGATCTTTTCCATGGAACAATTCTTTGACGTTTTTTTATCGAATGAGACTTAAAAAGAGATTTGATCTGTCGGGGTGTGTGGGTAGGTATGGCTGAGAGATGGATATAATATTCATACCACACCCGCACCTAAACCGATACCTACAACCACACTCATAGCCATACACTCACATCCACACATACCCACATTTACACCCACCCGTAATTGCATATTTATTAAAATAAAAGTCTAACATTAAACGAATATTTTCACTTTTGAAGCACTTCTCATCGTTGTAGTACGACATCTAAACAAAATGATTCAGAACAGAATATTTTACTTTTCTTTTCGTATTAGATTTTGATTGGCTATTGGTTTTTTCCCAGTTATGCTGTCTGTCATCATGGTTTTATACAATGTAGTCATTTATGTGAAAAATTTCCCAACATCATTTCATCGATGACAAACAACATGTTAGCATCTCTTGAAACATTGCCAATTGAATTACTGTATCAGATTTTTGATAATCTCGATGTTGAAACAATTGTAGTTTCGTTAAGACAAGTATGTCGATTGTTTCGTTCAGTTATTCAAACTTATAACCGTTATGTATTCGATTTTCAATCGATTTCGAAATCTAATTTTAATCTTATTTGTCGAATAGTTCGTCATGAGAATGTCATTTCATTGATACTGAACAATGACAAAACACCTGGCCAGATAGATTTTTTTCTTTCGTCAGTTCGAATTTATCGATTTACTCGACTTCGATCTCTTATTCTTCGAGATGTTGATGAATCGCAAGCAACTAATATTTTAACACGTATAAAAGTTGATCAGCTTAACTCATTTGTAATAAAAATACAAAAATATGATCAAAGACGAAAAATGACAACTGTGAAACTTATGACTACTATCATTTCCCAATTGCATCTTCAGAAACTTGACATACAAATAGAAAGTGAGAGATTTGGTTTGATAAAATGGCTTGAAAAAAGTACGCTTCGTGATTTATCAATCAATGGAAATATGACTTTCCATAATTTATGCACAATTATGCAATGTTCTCCACAGTTACGAGCACTTACGATACAACAAGTACTGCCATTTATGGATAACACGAATAATTCCATATGTTTTCTTCAATTGACTTCACTTACGATTGCTGAAATACATATAAATATCGATCAACTAGAATCTTTTCTTTTATTCACTCCATCACTGACTCATCTAAAAATGATTGGTGAAATAAATATTCTTGATGGAACAAGATGGGAGCAATTTATTCAAATACGTTTACCAATGCTAGATAGATTCGAACTTTTGGTATGGATATATCACACGTTCCCTCAAACTCTTCAAGATATTGAATCAATCATTAAATCATTCCGATCTTTATTTTGGATTGAACATAAAAAATGGTTTTTCACATGCGAATATGATATTGAATCTTCGAAAAAAATATATCTCTATTCATTACCAATTTGTCAAACAACAATGAAATACATACCATCGTCACAGAGAATGTCACTTTCCACCACTACTACATCTAATTTATCAAGAATGGACAATGTCGAGAATGTTATTTTAACAATGACAAAAGCTTTGGCTGATGAGATAGCGGAGAAAGTATGTACTAAGGTGTGTTATTTTTAAGAAAATAATAATACTACAATGAGTATTTTTAGGAAACAATGATCATGAATCCTGTGTTTTGTAAAGCGACTAAACTCTTTATTAATCTGGCCGATGATTGGCCATTTATTCCTCTCATTTCACTTTCAGTTCTTATCGATCTTTCACATCTTGTTGAAATCGAATTTAACAGCTGTTTTCCTATTACATCAGATACAAATGCATTATCTGATATTATCAATTTAATTCAACAAGCACATAATCTTTCATCTTTATTAATTTATTCACATTTTGCCTATGGATTTGGTTTATGTACAGAAGATATTTGCTGTCTTATTTCGCGTCAGATAAAACATTTACAAATACCTGTTGATGATTTAAATGATATAAAAATTGTTTTGGAACGATGTAATCATTTATCAAGTATTCAATTCGATATTCGTCAAAGAAAATTTTCAAAAGAGATTGTCCAATGGATAGTCGATAATACAATCGATTCAACATATCGAACAGATGCCAATTTTGTTAAAGTGTGGCTTGGGAAGAATAAGATCGAATCAAATGAATTTAATGTTGGATTTAAACGAATGAAATTCAGTGAACATTGTTGAGCTATTTGATTTTTTTATGATTTTCATTAAAATAAACTCGAAATGATAGGAAATTCGTCTTCCGAAGTCTTTTTACCTGTTAATATATAATCTTGCCTACAACAAGAAACTAAAATGTTTCGACGTACCGTGATATTTTTTTTATTAATTTTATTTATTCTTGCATTTCCATATGCATTGTTGATGTGATATTCAACTTATCGATTTCAATAAAAGATGAATTGAACATGTGTGCAGACGACTGTGATCATTTGTCGCTAACAAAAATCGACATCGGTCTATCGTTTTCTATGTATATAAAAAACCTAGGACAACATTTCAATTAATTCTAAGAATGAAACAACCTTTTCGTTATTTGTCATAGGTTAAATGGAAGATTGACAGCTATTCATTTGAGAAAAATTTGTTTTATATCGATTGTTACTGTCTAAATTACTTTATTTGTTTGTCTCACATCAAGCAGACTTTTTGTACCTTTTCATCTCAAAAGAAGGACTAACACCGACCAATAAATCCTTATCAATATGTCATCACTTAATTTATAAATTCTAAATATTAGAAAAAAAGCGCTTATAAGCATTATGTTTCTTATTTAGGTTCATGACGTCTGTTTTGAGAGATTTCTGAATTATCAAAAGTCATTTGCGTAAAAGTATTTTGATCAGACATTTCATAAAACTGTTAAACAAGTAATTAGTAAAAGTATAAGAGATTTAACGCACACGCTACTAAGATCATTAAAGGATGTGACAAAATGACTTGTAAGAATTCTCTAGAGGCATGACCAGTGTTTCTAATAGCGCGTGCCGACTGTGTTAGCAAAGTGCCGGCGGCACATAACAATTTGAAATGACACGTTATTTGGTACTTTGCTGAAAAAAACAATGTACCTAGATGGCACTTTGTTAAATGAAAAAGTACTTTACTTATTGGTTTTACTATAGCTTATCCATAAATTACTTTTTTTTTCTTTGTCCTTCCTTTCTTTTCGTTTTACTTGCAGGTGGAGCTTAGATAGTTCATTCTTTTTCGAGATTTATTATCTGCTGCCGGTCGTAGAAATTATTGTTTCTTCTCTAGATAATATTGATTTTTTATTAAACAGGTTATTCGATCCATTTTTATCTTAGCACATTTATTTGTTAGAGTTGTTTACAAAAAAACTTGGAAACCTTCTACAAATATCTTCTCCTATACAGGTGCTTTTCAAATTAGTTTATAATGTGGTAGTTAGCCTACGAAGAGCACTAAACAACAGTATAATTTCATATTCTTTTGATTGACTTATAAAAAATAGAAAAGGGAAAAAAAATTACACTCTTATATATATATAACATGTAATATGTCTCTCAAAAAGGATTTATCCCTGGAAAAATCAGTTCTATATTCATTTCTAACAGCAGAAAAATAGCTATCTTAAAAAAAATCTTTCCAAGTTTTTTTGCAATCAATTGTATGTACTATTGATTGTTGTTGACATGTTTTACTTTGGTTACATTATTTTTCTATAGAACTATTTCATCATGAAAATATATGAATAGTAAAAACTTTGTTTGTGTTTTTTTAACATGGTTTTTTTACCTTTGGCACGGTATGGTACTTTGCCATTCAAAATAAAGTACCAAATGGTACTTTAGTTACACGTTGAACGTGCCGAGAGGTACTATACTTCAGATTCCTATTAGAAACACTGGGCATGACTGAAGTTATAAACGTAAATCTACTAGAATTAATATTAGTTTTATTTATGAATATTCAGTTGTTTTCAAAGAACTCTAACATTTCTTCATAATAGTTATTGAGAATTTTATATGAAATAGCGTTTTATCACATATCATTATATATAGTTATACACTAGCATGATTGTTCTGGTAAAATTGGCCCTTTACATCTATTATCGGTAATACATGACAAGTGCTTATCTTTTTACTTGGAAAAACAGCTAATCCTAAGAGAAACATTCTTTTTCACTACGTCATCACTAACTAGAAGATAGATCAGAAAGTAAATAAAAACCGGTAAATTTCTCGTCTTTTCTTTAGATAGTAGTAATGATGAATGACAATAATTCAATGGCAGTTGATACTGAATCATGGTTTATTTCTTTTGATATTATCAATATTATCTGTCTTTTTATAGTCATTCTACTTACTATAATATTTTTATTTATCATAATATATGATAAAACATGCCATACAGTTCCTATGATGTTAGTTGCCAATTCTTGTCTAGCTGAACTTCTAATTACATGTGATTTATTTTGGATGGCTATATTTGCATTAGAAAATGATCTTAAACAACAACAATATATGGATTCATTTTGTATTTTTCGAGGCTATGCAATTTATACCACATGTTTTACTCAAAATTATTCGTATTTTCTTCAAGCTATATATCGGTATATGTCAATTGTGCACCCAACTCGTTTATTTTGGCGATCAAAACGAGTTCAAATTTTTTTCATCGGTTTAAGTTGGTTCATTGGAGTTATATGTGTTTTTCCACATCTATTTACCGGCAGAATAGTCTATCATAGTGATGATCAAATATGTCAAATGTCTCTTAATCTTTCTGTCGTCACAGTTTATAATGTTGTTTTGCTCTATTTAATTCCTGTCAATGGTACTATCTTTATATATTTCAAATTAGTTCGATATGTTAAACAAATGAGCACACACGTTACATCAGCCAATACTTTATTACGTGCGCAACGAGAATTAAATATGGTACATCGAATAGTGGTACTTGTATCCCTTTTAGTAGCATTTGGTTTACCTTATGCAATCTTTATCTTTATGGGTTTCTTTACTCAACCTCCAAAGTATCATTTTCGTATTGCTTACACATCGATTAGTGTATCATTGATCATTATTATGATAACTATATTTCAGAGTACAGAACCACTCAAAGCATTTATAAGCAGAAAAATCAACCGGAGACCGATCATGACAGTACAAACAGCGGAATAGAGAATCAGATCAAAAGAATAACATGTAATTGTTTAATCAATGTTGTATTGTAATTCATCACTCACCTATATATATATGAATAAATATATGCATGTCCTTTTAACTCGTTGTCTCTAAATGATATATTCTCTTTCTCGTAGAGAAGAGTCTTGCAAACATAAATTGTCTGGTTGTCTGTCCGCAGGGTCAAAAAAACACTGAAAACCAATTTTCAGGAAAAGACATTTCTAGAGGTTTTTCGATGCGGGGAGTTCGAATCTGAGGTCTATTGGGTGACCACGGTTAGGGGTGGGTGGGTGAAGAGGGCGGGTGTGGGTGAAAGGTCAAAAAAACATTGAAAACTGATTTTTCGAAAAAGATATTTCTATAGGTTTTTCGATACGGAGAGTTCGAAATCTGAGGACTATTGGATGACCGTGTGAAGGGACGGGGGTGAAGAGAAGTCAAAGGTCAAAAAAACACCGAAAACTGATTTTTCATGGTTTCTATTTGTTTTTCCGGTAAATGTGAAGAAAATGCATTTTTACGAGAAAGAGCTAAGCGAGTCCTCGGAGGAGCGTTACTTGTAATTATATTGATTTTAATATTGTGCCTCTTCTGACTGAGATTAACTTTGCTCAAATTCAGTTCGCTTTAGTATTTCTAGAAGATATAATTGTATTTATATTATTCAGTGAACCACAATCATGTACACGATTTCACGCGATGAAAATTTTTTCATGAGGATGTGGATGTCGTAAAAGATTATTCTCAATCCTACCTACATCCACTCTCAATATTAGAGTTTTCTTTTGAGATACATTTTATATTCATATTTTGACAGCCTTAATCTTTAATCTTAATAACTGTGATATAATTTTTTACTTTCATAACTTCATATTATGAGACAAATTTTATATTCTTTAATTTTATTTCTTTACACAATAATAATAATAAACATAAAAGAAAAAAAAATAACATTTACACAAAAAAAACAATAATGTAACTTCGTAGTACAGGTAATGAAGTTTGTATTAGATTTTTCATTTAAAAATTTTCGTAACCCATTTCCATTCAAATAAAAGAAGAAATAAGAATAATTTTGATTGAAATCAATACTTACGTTAGATTACTAAGCCCAATTGTAGACAAAAATTGAATTGCAAATTCTATATCTTTTTTATTGTCATGACGAAAAATACCATAAAAACAGTGTGCTAATGTTCTATAATACACAACAAAAAATAATAAATTAATTTCTGTCTTCTAATCTCTTCATAATCCAGGGCGAACAATCCGGGACGGAAACGGCCGGTTCCATGGTATTCCTGCCGAAAACGATGAGTTTCCTGAGGATTTTCAAGGAATATTGGGTCAGGATTCATCGGTCTGGGTAACTTGAAATGGTAGTTCATGTGCATAATCAATTTGTCATAATGTGCAAATAAAGAAGAAATAGACGATCGACGTCGTTTGTATGATGAATGATGACGTGGTAGGAATGATGATGAATTCCAACTAGAAGATAATGACGAAGATGTTTGACCAATAGATACTGATGATGAAGAACTTGTGCTAGATGATAATGAACTTGTATTAGATGATGATGATGTTGAAATGGAATTATCATTTACTTTCGAGTTAGACATTTTTATCTATACAATGCATATCTAAATAGCTGAAAACGAATGAAAATGGAATATATTACATGATAGAAAACAATGATATAAATCTTGAGGGTGAGTGTGGGTGTGTATGTTATATCCAACTACACACGCATTGACCCATCCACTCTGTTTTGGTGGATTTCAGTCGATTGCCTGCGCTTTTCTACAGGAACCGATGAGAAATCATCGGAAAGAATCTGAAAAATTTTCGGTGAAGATATTGACAAAACAAATTATCAACAAATTGTAACTGTCGGCAAAAAGTACTTGTCGGCTAACTGATTGTTGGTAAATTGTACCGGATCCATGTTGACTCACTATACCAAGAAAAGGATCATATGATCGTTTTTGTGCTCACATATGAATAATTTTTTTATATACGATCATCTACAAATTAGATTTTATCTTAAATAAAAGCTTTTATTTTATATAGTAAAAAAAACATACTTCTTGGCTGTGGGATAATAATATTTGATGCAGTAATTTGTAAGCACATTGTTCTGCATTAATCGCTGACTGAATGCTCAGATATATGTTTTGCTCTACATCTTTTCGATGATTATTATGTGGTTGATTAATATTTATTCGATCATCATCGATAGGTCGATCTGTAATTATTGAGTCTAGTAAATCTATCATATGTGTTTGTTGATCGCCTTCAACAACTAAATCAAGACTCGGTACGATACATGGATATAAATGAAAATGAGTTAGTTGTTGAACACCGAAATATTGAATTAGAGTTTCTGTAAGTTTTTTATTGATTGTTCTACTTAATTATTCATACAATCCATGTCAAGCAATCCGGCACGGAAATAACCAGCTCCAGACCATTCCAGCGATTTCATGGAAGTAGTATTCCGGTGAATGGATCCGGTTAATATCGAACTTCTCCGGTTCTGTTCGAAACCAACAGGAACTTGTCAAAACGGGCAGTAAGGTACGACCGTGAGATCCTTGCACCAGTTTCTCGCTTTTTTTTCAGCGAGTTCCGACCAGAACTAGCGAGTTTTCTGACGGTTTTCACCAAAAATTCACTGAATACTACTTCAAGAATCATTATCCTGCGAATAGTGATGTGAACAAAACTATTAGCTAATCAATGAAGTTTGAACAGGTAGAACGAAAAAATGAGAAAAATCAACATAGTTACGTGATGACATCTTCAGATTTTCGGTATACTATATGACTGACATTTTTTGAACACTTGTCTTCTAGGTTTTTTCCATGGATCTTCTTTTTGTTTGGTCAAATTTATATAATTCGTTCTTTCTATTCGGAAGTAACTTATTTCATCAGAAATTAATTTTATTGCTTAAAAATCTTGTAAATCTTCATAAATTTTTGTTGCGTTATATCTTGAGGATGGGTGTGGTTGAAATCAGATATCTACAACCACACCTACACCCACATCTATATCCACACCCACACCCACATCTATATCCACACCCACACCCACACCCATCTGTGTTCATCAAAACAGCAATTTGTTGAATGCTTCGAAAAAGCTTTTAGAGATCGATATGATTTGGCTCATAATCTTAATAGTATAGAATTAGAAAATATTTCCAAATTATATGCACATTTATATATTGCCAATTTGATCTCATGGATGGTATGTGTTATACTTTTTGATATCAAATAAAAATACCCATATTCTTAGGTATTTTGTCATGCTCATTTAAATGAAGATACAACATCATCAACTAGAGTTTTCCTAAAATATCTTTTTTCAGAATTAGCTAATTCTCTTGGTAATGATACATTAAATAAATATGTAAATGATCCGTAAGTTATAAAAAGATTAGAAGACACAAATTAATTTATCACTTTTTGTTGTGTATTGTAAAAAATTAGCACATTACTTTTCTGGTATTTTTTGTCATGAGAATAAAGAAGATTTATTGTTTGCAACTCAATTTTTGTCTCTAATTGGCCTTAGTAATCTAACGTAAGTATTCATTTCAATCAAAATTGTTTTTATTTCTTCTTCTATTTGGATAGTAATGATTTAAAAAAATTTTTACAACGAAAAGTTCAATGAAGAGAAATTATTTCGATATTCTGTTTCTAATCTTTCTTTTTATTTCCAGTAATAATTCTCATGTCAAACTAAATGTTCAAATAGATATTTATCATGTATATTTTATAATGAATACAAAAAAAATTTATTGTAATAATCGTATTCATATTGATTATAAATGTGTTTCAAAATGCAGAAAAAACAACTGATAGTAACAAAGTTCATTTAAGTAACAGACAAATGCATAATAATAGTAGAGCGTCCATATTTACATCAAATTTAGCACATAATAATGATGTTTTAGATACTCCTCTTGACTTAAAAGCTTGGAAATCAAAGTTCATAACTCAAATATTATCTAGCTATTGAATCATCATATAATGTTATTTATTTGATGATCAGTTACAATTACTATTTGTTTTGTTTTCTAGAATATTTCCTATTTTACTTAAGAAATAATGACTGCTTAAACTTTTTATGTATTATCTTTAGAACTTTATTTTCAAGTAACAATGATCATATGCAAGAAGATTTATGCTCTGTATTTATACTTTTTAATGTGTTTCTTTTGCATTGACAGTTATCACTCGACTCCATATTTTAAGTTTAAACAAATTCTTACAGTACTGATTATTCTGAGAAGATCATCAAATAGCTAAGATCTAATTTTCTAAAGAATTATAAATCTTTGAATTCCTTATATATATTTAATTATGATAACGATTAAAAAATATAATTAAAATAGTACTTCTCACTTACAAACATATAAAAAGCGATTTCAATGCTATAAATAATCATTAAATAAGAAGTATTGTATAGTGTGATATATATTTAGAAGCATGGGAAGAAAAGAAAAATTAAGACAGGTGACTCTTTTAAATAATAGCTCGTAGGCTAACAAATTCTATTCGAGTAAAAGTTTTCTTTCGCAGTAACTGATCTAATCAAATTTATGTTTTCAACTTATACACATCGTGACTAAATTCTGATGTGAATATTTTGCTATTGTCTTACATATGAGAACAGATGGATATTATTATCATGTTAGTCTTTTTTAATACTTTCTATTTTCGTTTATAAAAGCAGATGGTGAAAAATTCCCATCCCACGCATTTATACCATATCAGAGTTCTATTTAAACCTTTCTGTTTTTAGCTACTCGATATCTATAGAGTTTAAACTTTCATCGCATTCTGCCTCTCAGCATGAAACAATTACGTATGCTTTTGCTTACAATTTTTGTGGTGACTCTTCCTTCTGTCACTATTGCTCAATATGGAAATTGTGTTGCTAGAAATGGTCGCAGTGGAGAATGTATCAGTACTAGTCGATGTTCATCTCTCGGTGGAACATCGGATCCTGCTAATCTTTGTCCAGGTGATCAAACTATTCAGGTATAGATTATGTCTTATATTCTTCTATTGTTATTTCATCGATGTTTTTATTATTGTTACAGTGTTGTACCTATCGTGATTGTAAAAATAGTCAAGGAGTTGCTGGTAGTTGTCAACCTACTGCCACATGTGCAGGAAAATCTGATCCTGCTAATCTTTGTCCAGGTGGTAATAATATTCAATGCTGTACTGGTGGTAGCAGTAGTGGTGGTAATCTTCCTTATCTCAATGCAAAACAATCTACTTATGCTCGTATTATTGGTAAAGCTGCTCGTGATAATGGATTACCACGTCGTGCCTGTGAAGTAGCCATAGTAACTGCAATTGTTGAATCTAATATTCGTGTTTATGCTAATTCGAAAGTTGCTGAATCGTACAAGTATCCTCATGATGCCGTCGGTAAGTTAATATATAAGATTTAATTGTTGTTTTCAAATTAATTATTTTATGTGTTAGGATCTGATCACGATAGTGTCGGTATCTTTCAACAACGACCTCAATTTTGGGGAACTGTAAAAGATTGTATGGATCCTAAAACTAGTGCTAACAAATTCTATAATGCTCTGAAAGGTGTAGCTGGATGGCAAAGCGTCAGTGTTGGTACAGCTGCACAGAAAGTACAACGATCAGCTTATCCTTTACGATACGATGAACATACTACCAAAGCAACTGCAATTTGCAATATAGCTTATTAGACATTTTGAAATGAGTAAATTTTTACATAAAGTTTTGTTTTTAAATAAAGTCGTATTTCATTATAATAAATATAGCGTTTATTTCTTGCTAAAACAATTTTCAAACAACCAATCAACAAATATTTCTTTTAAGGCGTTGGTTAATATAACTTGATAAAAAAAAATGATTGTATTTCGTAGTTGGTTATTGATTTTAGAATCTAATGACTGGTAATCATGGTTCATATACATCTTTGTATACATTCGTGATTATAAAGCTTAACATCGTTAGTTGCGCATATGTGTATGTGCGTGTTATACATGTTTGTACATGTTGTCAATTAAAAAAAAAGAAAAAAGAAAGCCAAATTACACGATTTATATATTGCTAGAAAAGAAAAGAAATCTCTTTTACTAAATTATAGTTTCTTTTTTTTTCTCTCTCTCTTTCTCTTCTTCTTCGAAACATACGTACATAAATTGGATCATTTTTATAATCTTAGTGTTGTTGATGATGAAGAGTTTTGTCGAGTAATCGAAGTAAATAAACTGTGTTCACTAGTGAACAAGCGACAACGATCGATAATCTTATTTTAGTCGTTTGTTACAAAAGAAAATTCTTGATATCCGGAAAGAAACATCATCCTATATGTAACAAACTCAATTTAGTTTTATTGCTCGTCGTCACAAAATCAATTTAATGCGTATGTATTAGTAACATTTTTATACTTAAACAAACAACTAAAAAAAATTTTTTTTCTCTTTTTCAAATCATAAAAATAAAATAAAAAAAAAAGAGAAAGCAACATGAATGTATTCATCACATGCCCTTGATTAGATACATTGAACTATTAAGGCACGTGATTATGAATACTCTTTTGTTAGCTGATAAACTTCGATAACAAAATTTCTTTGTTTTTTGGACGGATAAAAAAAACATTTGAATACAAAAGAAAAACAAACAAAGAATCATTTTTAATTTTGAAGATAATTGATTAATAATTGAATAATATCTTTAAATCGATTTATTTGATTCTCATTATCAATATTTTCAATAGTCCAATTGAAGTAAGAAAATTCTTTTTTTAATTCATTAATTATATTTTGTAATTTATCATATTTATTTATATGTGTTAATATATATTTTAGTATATAGGGATGCATAAGATAACCATGTTTAACTTGTTTAACAAATATATCAAGCTTAATAGATCGTTTTAATTGACTCATTTGTTCAATAAAACCTAATGATCGATCTGAACTATATTGATATATTAAATGTTTAAATAAATAACGACGTTTTTCTTCATCTTCATCATTTTCTTCGAATTGTCGACATAATTGTTGCATTTCAGCTTGACCAATATTTCGATCATGTTCACACAATTGACATTGACATTCATCAATAAAATATTCACGTAAACGAAGTGTTCGTTCAATATATGAACTATAAACTGTTGGTAAATAACATATTGTCATTTCTTCACCTATTTCAATTGGTTTAATAACACTAAGAAAACATACATGATTAATAATAATATAAAAACAATTCGGTAAACATGAATGATTAAATCGAGCTAATTTTGTCCATAAACCACTACCAATTACATTTCGTTCAAAAATTTCTAGTAAAACTTTATATGGAAGATGATAATAATCTTCATCATCAGATTTTTTTCTTAAAGGTTGTTGACGTAATGGTGTTAGATGAGATAATTTTTCAACAAAATATTTATGATCTATCAATATGCGTGTTTCAACTTCTCTTAAAAGTTCAAGAACAGTTTGACGAAGATATTTTCCACCATTTGTCCCACCATCTTCCATATTTCTATATTCAGGTTTTTGTGTTAAAGAAAAAGTAATTAAATGCATTGGATCATCAACTAACATTTCATTTGTTTTTGCATGAACATATGCAAATGGTCGTTCCACTAATAATAATGTACCCGGTTCTAAACGGCATAAAGCAAACATACCAAAACCTTTTTCCTATAAATTATATGACAAAGATAATTAGATGTTTAATTATGAGAAGATAAGAATCTCATACCGGTTTTTCACATTGTCGAAATTCATAAACATTTTGTCGTTCAAATTCAGCTAAAAAACCATCGGATCTCTTTGCTCGTCCTGATAATATTTCATACATATCATAATTTCCTTCAGCTTCTTTTTGTAAACATGGAATATCAGATTCAAGTATACGTCGAAATCGATCAAGAATTTCATTATATGATGAAACATCTTGTATACATTCAAGTAATGAATCCGGTGATAATTTTGCTTCATCAAATAATTGTAAACCAATTAATGCACGCATTTTTCGATAATGAACTTTCCATGTAAATGTTACATCACCATTTTCATCGGTTGGATTCTTTACACATATATCTAATATATGATTACAATCAGTGAGTGCTAAATGTGGTAATTGTCCTTGTAAATAACATTCAGCACGATTATTTAATATGCGAGTATCATTTGGACTTTTACTTAAACCAAGAGAATAATATTCAATAGCACCATAAATATCATTGTTATGAAAACATTTGTTACCTAAGATAATAGAATATAACGAGATTTTATGAATGTAATCATTTAAAAAAATAAAACAGATTGGACAAATCATACCATTGTTTCGAAATTTTCACTTAAATATAGAAGATAAGAAACCGATATTCATTACAATATATGATCTACAAATCTAATATAAAATATGTGAGAGATTAACGATGGAATATTTTATATATATTTCTCTTCCATAATATGAGCTAAAATTCATTTTTAAGATTTAAAATCCTATAAGAATCTCTGAAAAATAGATATACTAAAAATTCAATAGTTTAATTTAGTATTCATAGAACATTATGTTATAGTCGTTATCTGAATTATTTTGAATAAAAGATACTATATCTCATAGTAGCATAACTGATCTGTGTCAAAAAAGAAACTTTCTAATACCTAAATCACGTAATTTATCAGCATCCATTTGTTCAATTTCTTTTTCATAATCAGTAAACCACATTTCAAGTCTTGGATTATCTACACGTAATATTAATAAACCATCTGCAGCCATTTTAATAAATGGATTACCAATAATAAAATGTCTCTCACGTTTTATTCTATTTCGTATATACTCAATTGATTGATCACCTAATATAGTATACCAATTATATATTGCTAAACGTATAATATTTTTATTTCCATCCTCAACAATCGATTGAATAGATCTTGGTGTTATAAATGGGTCAACAATTGAATGTACTTGAATCATTGAACCTTTATGTACACGATTTATTTTCGTTTCTCTAAGATTAATACTTGTCATTGACATAAGACGATTGTACATTTGTTGTTTAGAGAGAAATGATAATGAACGATATTTTAATTGTATATCAAATGCATATGGTATAATATTATAATCTTCAAGTGTAAGAGCTTTAACATAACGTTCAAATGATATAATTAAATCTTTTCTTGAACAAAATTCATGAAATGAACGAGAATTTAATTCAGGATTATATATTCCTGTTGGTGATGCAAGTAAACGATCGACAATATGAAATGGTGAAGTACTTTTATCATCCATTGTTGTTGAACGTTGTGATATAGCTGTTAGACGTCGTGCTGTTCGTGCTGCTTTTTTATTATTTTGACATTGTCGAGCAAAATAAAAAGCTAGATTTGTCATATCAATATTTGGTAATATTTGTGATAAATCAGCAAATTTTAATAATTGTCGTCGATGTTCTTCACAACATATATGAGATGGCATATCACAACTATACGATTCAGTTTGTTTTATTCTATAGGAGAAAAAAACAAAGTTTTTATTTGTCAAAGATATACTTTTGAATAATATTTCAAAATGACTTATGTTCATTAGAATAAAAGTCATAATAAAGAGACCTCTTTTTTTTCTCTATTTTAAAAATATTATTTCATTGAATAAATATCATATAGTTCACACATACCTTTGAAACATTATTTATAAACTATGAAATAATAGAAATAAGTTTTGTCTACAATAACTAACAAGATGGTTTTTGAATTGGAGAATTGACTTCCTTTTCTTCGTTAGTATCTATAGTAACAATACGACAATTGATATTGGAGGAAATAAAATATTAACAATGTTCAAATAAAGTCTTTTGGGTACGTCTGAGAATTGGGAAGAACAGAAACGAAAAAAAGAACATCTGTGATTGGCTCTACGAAATACCGATTCGTATATTGAAGAATAAAAAACAAAATACCTTCAATATGAGTGGACGAAAAATACTCCAATTTCATTTTATTTTGATTATTTTCGCTAGTTTCAAATCTTATTTATTCTTTTGATATATTTTCATGTGATTACATGAAGTATATATTATTGTTTGTTACATTTTCTTATTCGATCAACATTCTTTCAATCATGATATACATATATATATATATCTTTTCAAAACATAAATGTAAATAAAAAGCCTAAAGTGAAATAACAATGGTATTTAATATATGATTTCACAACTACTTTTCTTCATTCCGATTAATACGTGTAGATGAATCTAGAATGCAGTAGAATCAAGTGCAGAAGGTTGTAGCAAATCATAGTATTACTCATCGTATGATAGAAATAAAAAAAAGAGAATGAGAGAAAAAAAATATGTGATGCAATGCAAAAGGGGTGTGTAGACAGCAATGATCTACACTTTTCTTAAAATTTATTAATCATTCTTCCACGTCCTCAACGTATTCAGGTATGTAACAGATTTATCTAGATCATGAACATGAGTGTATGTTAAGAGGTTTGAGAGAAAAAACGTTTTTTGAATTACTCATTCGATAGTAAATAGAGATACATATTAGTCGAGCATTATTCTATAAATATTTTGATAGAATAACAACCGTACATAGTTTTGATATCATTTTTTCTATCTAGAGTTCAGTAGGAAATGAGTAATAATTATAGAAATAACTTCTCTTGAACAATATTACTCTTTATTACAATATATGCGAGTATTTTTCAAAGCGAATCCTCAGAAAAACAGATCATACTCTGATGCAGATGAATCATCACTGTTCTACATTTTTACATACTCAACGATATGTCGGGATCATTTTTTCCTATTAATTATGGGATAGATTTGAAAATATGATCAGAAAATATTTTTTTTCTTTTTCATTTAGTGTAAGATAGAGAATGCTGGTTTTGGCGATTAGTCATTATATTTTAAATAACATTCTATGCCTTTTCTGATCAATTAGAAATCAGTTTTTTTATAATTATTTTATATTAAATGAGATAAATAATATCAACTGTTGTTTACGTAGAAAATTTAAATACTTTAGATGAAAATTCTATGAGAAATATTCCACAAATACCCAAAACCATTTTATTTTATGCTGATTCATAACTTATGAGTCATAGGAGACACGATGTGTTCTTTTCTCAATAAACAATGTTGAGTGTCTTAGTTTATTTGATGACTCATATTAGTCAACACCATCGAATAATATGTTTAGAAGCCAATAACCAAAGATGTTAAATTATCTTTACATGCTTTTCATAGTTTATTAATTTATGACTGTAAATAAATAGATGAAAGTATTTAAGTATAAGTGTATTTTTTATATAGAAATTTGAAATAATGATGAATTTTTATTGAATAATTAAATTATAATGGACAAGGAAGACAATAGTTAAGTGAATTCTCATACAATTCGTGAAAAAGAGATACGAGAAAACTGATTAACATATTGTTTTCTTAAAAAAAAACGGGACATCCATGTAAAAAAAAGATTACAAAAATCATCATGGCACTATTGTAATCTGATATCAGATTATAATAGTGCTAGGATAATTTGATTTTTGTAATCTTTTTTTTACATGGGTGAGAGTCAAGAGTTTTTCTCTTGATTTGATATGAAGAGAAAACACTATATGCATGCAATACCAAAATTATCACAAACGAAATATATCTTAAATATTCATAAATCATATTATTTTCTCAAATTCTAGAATAAAAAGATCGTAGTTTTTGCATTAAATATCCCAGATATCTGAGACATCTAATAATAACCTTGTTTAGTATATAAAATTCCCCATGAATTTTGTCAAAAAACTTCATCTGACGTTGTTTACAGTCTTCTCGATTAAAATATTTAAAAAAATAAATTATCAATATTTTAGATAACATTCGTTTGTGACACTTTTGACTATTGTCTACAGGATAGTTGCGGGATTAAAATTTCAAATGGATGATTAAATAATCAAAAAAAA